GGAGACGATAGTAAATTAAAATACAGACATCGAAGGTAGACTTAAGGAACACAAAAATATTTATTATAAGTTTCACGTATATTTCGGTTGTTCCTACAACCTTTTTCAGCGTGTAAGTGAAGACATAATCAAATAGCTTAGACAGATCATCGTGTCACATTAACATAATAATAAAGGGTGCATATCTAAAATAACAAATAGTTTATACATGGCACTGTTGATGTCTATGAGAGTAAATAATGAAAGTAGAGAGCTAAACATAGTGGCCCATACAAATGAATGAAATACACAGAAAAAAAATTGAACTGTATTGTTAGTCCAATCACAGAACTATAAGTGATAAATAAAAAAATAATACAAAGTTATAAAATAGAGTGAAATGAGTAAAACTAGGTATCAAGTAGCCCAATCTTAGGATGTTAAATACAAGATAAATAATGTAATAATCTGGTGGTACAGTCTAGGGTCTAAACATGATAAATAGATAACTGACAAAATAAATGACATATTCAATAATATTAATAATACAATCCATATGTATATATAAATATATATACAGCAGGCATATGAAGAGCACGTGTAAAAATAGGAGAAATGGAAAAGGCGAAATATTCCAATCATATGCATATGCATGATAAAAATTGTAATAAGACCTATTATGTGATTAAAACGCACGAGTGAAAATATGAGAAATGAAAAAAACGAAATATTCGAGACGTTCAATCATATGCATATACATGATAAATAAGGCCTATTGGATGTTAGTAAATGTGTAATCGGTGGCAAAGCCAAGGTCTTTGTTAAGGCCGTTGGTGTGGGATTTAAGCCTGATTATCCATTTTATTTCGGCACAACGTCTGTCATTGGACGATCTATAGTTAGAGCCTAGAATAATACACTTACAAATATATTTGTTGCCATGGTAATTATGTAGGGGAAACCGGCACCAACTTCAGACTTAGGATCAACAATCACAAAAATTAAATCAGAGACAAAAGCCCAGGCTTCCCAGTTAGCACTCATTTTAACCTTCCCGGTCACTCCATTGAGAACTTTAAGTGTATTATTCTACTAACCAGAATAAAGGCCTGTTTACACTATATATGTATAATAAATAACGATCAACGATAAAAAGTTAAAATATATGAAAAGTTTTCTCACTTGCACGAACTTGATAACGATTTATCGTACCCAGAAAAAAAAATTTTTACAAACCAAATCAAACTGGGTCATAATTATAGGAAAACGATAAAATAGTTTTTACGTTTACGAATACACGATGAAAAAGACAGAAATTGTAATCGTGAACACCTACACAGAGCCCAGGAGACAGAATACAAACCAACACGAATAAGACATCAGGACAATTTAAGGTATGGCTAGACAGGTGAACACGAGACACAGAGGAGAGTGTACACTTGACTGGACAACAACTCAAAAGGTGGGTGGTGAACTAATCGAAGGATGAAACCAGCCTATTGGCTAATGGCCCTAATTTTGCAGTAGTAGACGCAAAAAAAGAAGCCCATAGAAGAGATGCGTTTCTACAGAAATGGCTTGCAAATTAGTCCCAAAAGCTCAGGGTGACCTGTTAAGAGCTAAGGTCACGAACATAGTAAGGTCCACAAAACTGCACCCATCCAACATAGCGCCCAAGGAAAGGAAGCATTAAATAGTTTGAAACGAGACTTAAGTCCCTAATGATCGAGCTACACTGCTATTCAACGCAACAGTATAAAAAGGTCTACTGAGTACATGGAGTAGACTCTACTCCATGTTATCGGACCAACATACGTATGAAAATAATACGTATAAATTATGCCTATTTTACTATTGAACTTCTTAAATTTTTAACTTTACTTTACTTGACGGTATCCCAAAGATTCACAAAGGCAGATTAAGGGCGATGTTGTTTCTATCATGTTTCATAATAATTTAGGTCCTGAAAAGTATCTTATTTCTTACATTTTTATCTACTTTTCACTTTCAATTTTGTGTGTTATTGATTCATTTTTATGAGTACCTGTCGTATAAGTGGTACTTGATGGTCATTCTGAAGAACGAATTTTGTAGATTTTATTTTGATGCTGTGAAGGACAGCAGGCTCAGAATTGCAACCACACACAACACAGGCCAGTCACTCAGGTGTTAACCAATACATACCTAACCAAACATGCCTAGAGGAAAACAGGTGGAGGAGCCTGCACCGGAGGCTGCAATGCAAGTGCAGCTTAATGATATTATAGACAAAGTTAAGAATCTATTAAGTCTTTTGGAAAATATGAAGGAAATTAAGGATTTTCAGAAATCCATGTCAGAGTCTATGAATTATTTCAATTCACTGGTCGAAGAAATGTGTGGGAAAATGAAAGATAGTGAGCGAGATAACAAAGTTCTAAAGGCAGATAATGACGAATTGAAGAAAAGAGTATATGAAATCTAGATCTAGAAGACGAGATCTAGATGAGCAAAATCAGTATAGTAGAAGAGAAAATCTTGAGATTCAAGACATACCACAAATCGCAAACCAAAACACGGACGAAATAGTATTAGCAGTTCTAAAGCAATTAAATTAATGTGAGTATAAATGCTAGAGATATTGAAGTAACTCACAGAGTAGGAAACCGTGAAGAACTGAACAGACCAATAATTGTAAAATTTAACAGCAGGAAGAAACGAGATAAAATATATAAAGGTAGAAGGAAACTTAGTAACACCACATCAGAGTCACTTGGATATCCTGACAGAAATCACATATATCAACGAAAACTTGACACAAAGGAAACGTAACCTTATGGGAAAAGCAAATGTTAGACGTAAAGACAACAGATATATTTATTTGTGGACATACAGTGGCCGTATTTATGTACGCAAACAACAAGGGTCGCCGTTGATTGCCATAAATACAGAGGAGGATCTACAAAAAATGATCTAAATTCATCTAGAATATTTTTTTAAGCATGGTGACAAACATCGAATGTGGACAATGAAATAAATGGTGATTGTAATCATTTTATGAAACATTAGCTCAGAGTAAGTTAAAGATTATAGCACTTTCTGAAGTTTGGCAAGTTTTAAATAAAGATTTATACAAGTTAAATAACTATTCATTAGAAATTAATTGTCGGGTAGAATAAAGAGGTGGGGGAGTCGGCACTTATATACATGAATCACTGAACTATAAGGTCATTAATTATAATATATGTCATTCTGAATCATTATGGTTGGAAGTGGATATGGGTAGGAATAAATCACTTGTAGTTGGAATAATTTATAGACAACCGAATACAAATCTTGATGAATTAATTGAAAGTCTCGAGTTATCAATTATTATGTAATATTAAACAAAATTGTACCGGACGAATTCTGATTGGAGAATTTAATATTAATGTGAATAATATCTATTCAAGTGATATTATTAGACTTAATGGCAGTTTATTGTGTTTCAATTTTATGCAACTTATCACTGTATCAACACGTATCACAAATAAATCAAGCACAATTATAGATCACATATATACAGATAATTATACCAGATTTGCTACATTTGGAACTATAGAATTAGATATTTCAGACCATTTGGCCATTTTCTGCATATTGGAAAATACGCATACTTATTTTCAACGGACTGATAAAATTATATTTAGGAATTATTAAAATTTAAATGCTCAATGCTTTAGTGAAGACTAAGATCTATTAACTGGTCTGAGGTATTTGGTTGGTCAGACGTAAATTCGGCATACATGGCATTCCTTAATCTAGTCTTAGATGTATGCAACAAGCATGCTCCATTTATCACTAAAAGTTTTAACCCAAAAAATAAATTTTACAAGCCATGGATTAATTCTCAAATAATAAAAGTCAATAAAATTTAAACATAAATTATTTTCAAAAGTGATGAAGAGTAATTATAATTCAGATATTTTTTTTTTCAGAACAATTTGAAAACCATTGTGGTAATATGAATAAAACATGGGAAATTGTCAATTACATTTTAAGCAGAGGAAAAAAGGAAATGAAATTACCTAGTCATTTGGAAGTCCAGTCTGAAAGTGGTAATATATATAAATTTACTAGTCAGACATAATTGTTTTAATAATTACTTCGTTTCAATTGGCAAGACTTTTGACAAAGATATCAACGGTAGGCCTATTGAAAACCACATGGTATACTTACCTAATACCCATCCAAATTCTTTATTTCTTCATGGTACAACAGAGGAAGAAGTTACAGATATTTTAATAGGATTAGATAAAAATAAAGCAGTTGGTGTGGACCAAACCATGGACCTATTAATAAGAAGGACATACAACGTAGTATTGCCCTTTGATCTATCATCTTTTCCGACAAGATAAGACAGGGGTATATTTATCGGAATAAACTATGAAAAGATAAGCTCGGTACCGTTATTTCTTACGTTATCGCCTTTCTGGGCATGCGCATTGGGCTTTCGTTCTGCTGCCTGGTTCTCCGCGATCGATTGAGAGACACACACACACACACACATTAAACTGTTGAAAATACCAGGTCCATGAAAATACGAATACAGTATGGACGATTTAGATTTCTGCGTCAACGACGCAGAGATCGATAATAGAAACGCAAAATGCACTATGTATGCAAACAGAAGTCAGAGGATAAAATGATTGCATGTGGTGGTCCAAACTGTACATGGGCCTACTAGGCCTAGTAATACGTGGTACCACTACTTCAACTGCATAGGCTTAACACCAAATGAAATAGCCTTCCTAGCGATGGCCTGGGCTTGTAAACGGTGCGTAGTCGCTGCTTCAGCATGAGCGGGTGACAGCAACCTACAGGGGCCTAGCTGAGAGAAACAGACGGGTTCCGTACCGTCTGTTAAAAAAAGGTACCCTGTATTTTTTTTAATTTTGCCTAATATGGGCTAAAACATGGACCTGTAGTATTAATAATTTTGGTAGGACCCCTATTTCTTTGATTGACTTCAGTTTTCATACCCACTTTTGTGTATGTTATGTTTTTTATTGATGCCTGGAAATTTATTTTCACAAACCTAGATTAATAAATACTGCAGGTAGCCATATTTATATATGTACTGTATTTTTTTTTGTGTGTGTTAATTTAAAGGCAGATAAATGTAGGCCTGCCTAGGCTAGGTGTAATCGTGTGATGGGGTCGTAACTTAATTTTATAGTTCTGTTCTGTTGAATCCAATACAAAAAATACCATGCAGTAGTTAAATTATATGTATTTCATACCTTTTAAAACAATTTTAATACAGTAATTTTATATTTATTTTCAGAAAAAAACAGACTGAAAGGCCTGCAAGTGTTTACACCAAAGAGGAAATTGGAGGTGCACTGAAAGCTTTAGAGAGTCACCAATGGAAGTAATAATAATATTGTAAATGTACATGCAGATACTGTACAAAATTTTAAAAAACAGTAGCTTAAAATCTAAGATAAAAAGCTTACGAAAAGGAATTGCCCAAGTAAATATGTTGATGTAAAGGTATGTGGAAATCTGCCTGATGGTGCTGGGATAGTAATCGCTTGTGTAATTAATAATGTAAATAATAAAAATACAATATTATGTTGAGATATTGAGGTACTA